TGCAAGAGTCAGGCTGGTACAGGGCTGTGTCCCTGTCACCAGCCACTGGAGGAAGGCTGGAGGCCTTAGCTGGGTGGGCCCCAAGACACCTGCTGGAATCTGGTCCGTCGGACGTCGGGGCGGCCACTCTTGGCCCCTCTCCCAAGAGGCCCTTGGCTCCCTGGGTCCCCAGGTTTGCTTCAGTTCTTCCGGCCTTGGACAGCAGCGGCTGGTCTTCACCACCCTGAGTCTGGGTGGTGCCACTGTGCTGGGTGTCCCCAGTCTTCTCAGGAGCAGCAGGAACCTCAGCAGACGAGATATCCTTTTTCATCAAAAACTCATCCGCCATGCCCTCCTGAGGATGAAGATCGGAGGAGACCACAGCAGCTTCCAGCTCGCAGGGTGGCAGGGTGGCACTTTGGGTCTTGCGGGTGGCTGAGAGTGCGGGCAGGGCCAGCCCTTCCCCGCGGGCCTCCAGCTCCCTCTGCGCCTCAGGCTGAGCGTCTCCGGGGCACACCTCCTCCTTGGGGGCATTCACTCCCTGGAACACAAGCTCCTCTTCTGCCAGCTGCAGCTGGCCCCCCAAGGCCTCTTGCTGGATGTCCCCGCCGGGCTCCAGGAGGCAGAAGCTCTGGTTGATGGAGCTGGTGAAGACCAGGGTCTCCTGGGCAGCCCCGTGTACCTCCTTGATGTGGGAGCGCAGCCGGATGGAACTGACGAACTTCTTAAAGCATATGGCACAGACGTACACAAAGGGATGCTTCCTGACATGCAGCTCCAGCGCCTGGTACTTGGTGGCCCCGTGACCGCAAAGCTCGCAGGCGAAGGGCCACTTGTCGCCATGGACCAGCATGTGGCGGTCACGGTCCAGCTCGTTCTTGAACTTCCGCTCGCAGATGTGACAGTCGTACAGCAGCTGCCGCTTGCCCTCCCGCGTCAACAGGCAGAGCGCATCCAAGGCCTCCTTGACCTTCTTGTCCTGCGGGTCGTGTGCGTCTCGGATGTGCTTGATGAGGTTCTTGACATCCGAGTACTTCTTCTTGCAGAAACGGCAGTGCTGCTTGATTTTCTTGTGCACCCGCTCCACGTGCACCTTGAGGTGGCCTTTGCTCAGGCAGGTGAAAGAGCAGTAGTCGCAGGCAAACTTCTCGCCAGTGTGCTTACGCAGGTGCACATTGAGGTTGGCCTTGATGGCGCTGGCGTAACTGCACTGAGAGCACTTGTACGGCTTCTCGTTGGTGTGGATCCTCAGATGTGCCTGCAGCGAGTGCTTGAATTTGAAGACCTTGTTGCAGTACTCACAAGTGAAGATCTTGAGCTGGGTGGGCCCTAGCCTAGAAAGAGACGTTAGAAACAGCGCTGTTACAGCCAGAGACGCTACACACTCCCAGGCACCTCTAGCTCCTTATGAACCGAACACCAAAGGCTCAAAAGTGAACCAAATGGGACTGAGAATGGATGGATACATTCATTCACCAACAAACAGGCCTGGAGCGTGCCTAGTATGGACCCAGCATGTGCACACGTGGAGAGTGGGGCCCTGTGCCTAGGAGCTCACAGTTGGGGAAGAGCAGACAGGCCAGCACACGGTTGCACAACAGCGTGGTAAGTGTTAACAGGAATACGTGCAGGGTGAAAAGAGAAAGAGACATCTAACCTGGAGGAAGGTAGTTGGGAAAGCTTGCTGAAGAGGAGATGTCTGAGTTGAGGCTTCAAGAACAAGGACGAGGGAGGCAAGAGAAGGGAGAGGGAGGAGGGAGTGTCACTCACGGTGCACTTAATAGCCAGCTGTGCTCCAAAGCTGACCTGTGTGTAATCTGGGGAATTTTACTGGGCCTGATCATAAGGGAATGAACTCAGTCTGCTCCGTAAGACTAGATACAGCCTGCTTGGGTTTGTCCAATAGCTTCAGTAACCCAGACTTGCCTATTCATTCAAACAATTGTCGGCCTTTCCCTTTGCTACAAGTTTCCATACAAGGACACCCATCAGTGAAAGACCCCTGGCTTTTCTCCATGTCCTCACTTCCTCCCGGGAAAAGGGACCTGGTGGATCTGACTGGGGTAGCCTTCCCAGGCTGAGCTGCAGCTCTCCCTCCCGGTTAGGACGCATCTGCCCATGGACACTGACACATGCGCTTCAGGAAGCACTCAGCAAGGTGGGCAGGGCCTGCAGCAGTCAGGCTGCCCAGCTCTGCAGCACAGTGCTCGGAAGGCCAGCACTTACTTGCACCGCACTACTTTCTCCCACAACTCCAGCAGTAACAGGGCTGACACTGAACCTCCAGCTTTCTCCTCCTTTACCAGGGCTCATTTACAACTCAGATGGAGAAAACAGGATTGTTGGTTTTGATTTATTAACTTCATATATCATTTATTAATAAGTGATTGTCATTTATTAATAATTGACAATGTATTTCAGGCAATATGTTAGATGTTATGTATTTGATAGAAAATAAAAGCATGGTCTGCCTCATGGATCTTTTTTCTTTCAATTTGGCAATATGTATGCTGAGATGAATAATAATAGTAGCTAACCACTGACTTACAATACACCAAACCTTATGCTAAGTATTTATTTCTGACCCCATTATTATGCCCATTTTACGATGACAACACCGAGCATTCACCCAAGGTCGTACATTTAGTAAGTAAGTGAAGCCAGGATGTGAACCCAAGCAGACCATCTGCCTCCAGAGCCTGCATTTTCCTCCTCATCCTCTTTGCTGCCTGAAAACACCACAACCCCGACCACGGTGTGAGTGTACGTACAGACAAGGCCCCTGTACGCAGCTACCACTGCGGGTGGAACACTCATGTCTGGTTTCTGAAACCAGTGAGTGACAGTCACCAAAGTACTATAATACACACCAGGGACAGGAATTGGCAGAGGAGCCAAAGAGGCAGGTAAGGCTCCTTCTTTTCCTCAACTGCTTCATTTGGACAGCATGTCCAGGCAGCCCACAAAGGTTGCAGAAATACTGATAATCACTTAGCACAGCTAACTAGACGCCATTAAGCTGGACCCTGTAACAGCAAAGTCTATATTTATGGAACTATCCATACAACTATGTTTGATCAACACAGGTTGCCTTGTCTTTAAATTAAAAATATTTAAATAGACTGCAGTCCATAAACACCAGAGGGTACAATTCACATGATGTAATTAAAATATTCAAATGTGAACGTTTGTACTATGCCTGCATGCTAAACCCAAGGCTAATTTAAGGAAACTAATTTGGATCTTTCTCAAATGACAAAGAAATCCAGAAGGTGATACATTTTACTGGTATAAAGAACATTGGAGGAAAAACCCTGGATTCATAATGTTAATTAAATAAACAAATCACAGAATTTTCTCCTCTAATGCAATATCTAAGTGGTCTTAGGAGAATCTTTTGCTCTGATTTTTTTTGTATTATTACACAAATACCTGGTAAAGCCCTCAGTGTCCTGTTTCTTGCTAAGGGTAATGAATCTAATGAAGATGCTAAGCAGCCTACATCTGACTCTCAAGCACAGCCTTACTAACAATGACTGTGAACTGATGCACAGAGCTGCAATGTCCATATGATTCCTATTAAATCACTGACTCCAAATGTTCCCTATTCAGTGAGAGAAGCACTCTCACCCCCTGCATTTTAGAAAGCAATCAAGCAGAGCTTTAAAAGGTCAGACCCCTTGATACAGTTATTTCCACTCCTGGGAACTTATCAGGAAAAAAAAATAACAAAACTCAAGTAAAGGTGCTCACTGCATGGTTTTTCACAACAGCTGAGAGTGGAGAGCTGCCTGAAGGTCCTGATGTAAGGAACTAATCTGCACATTTGTTTTTTTCATGTAATCATTTGGAAACACGCACTGGAGACATAGTAGGAACAAAAGAAACATCTTGCTCTCTTGGAGCTCATTTTCTAGAGGAAGTGATGGGCCAGCCCAACAACCATAAAAGATGAGCAGATTAGCCATACAAGTGAGCAGATAAGGAGCCCCAGCTCCCTGCTGTGAAGGAAAAGGGCAGGATGATGCTCTCAAGGCCCAGGTCAGGGCAGACTAATCTGTCTAGGGAGCATGACAGGTCACCCTGGGGACTGGACATCTGAGCAGACCGCTGAAGATGGACAGACCAGAGGGAGGAGAAGCACTCAAGAAAGAGGAAGAGGCTCCTGCAAGGAGAGGTCACGGAAGCAAAAAGGGCCCAGTGGCTGGGGCAGATGCTGGGACCCAGAGAGCCAGAGGAGCACAGGAGGGAGGCCAGGCTGAGAGGCGGCAGCCACGGACAGCCTTCCAGGCCCAGTTCTCCTAACAGCAATGTGAGGCCTTCAAAGGGCACAATCGAATGGGAAATTTACAAAGATCCCACGGGCTGCAATGTGGAGAGTTGAGTAGCTTACAGGGTAGCCTCATTATGTTAATAAGGGTCACTACAAAGTGGAGTTTGTGAATAATTTAAATAACAAAGGAAGGTTTAACATGATTAAGTACTAAAAGATGCAAAATTGCATATAAAATATAAACTATTTTATAAAATACGTGGGCTGAAAAAAGGCTAGAAGGAAACGCATTAAAAATATTAACAGTGATTATTTTAGGGTAGTGAGATTATAAATGATGTTTTTCTTACGGTTTTATGGACTTCCAAAATTTTCTGTACAGTAAGTCTGTATATTTGTGTGAGAACCTAATTGATACATTAATATACCTTAAAAATATAGTTTGCATCTATATTTTATAAAGCAAAATCATTAGATACAAAGTCTCTTTCATAACTACTTTATAATTTATACTATAAAATATTAATAGAATGCATGGCAATTGGAATACAGCCTAGATCTGTGGATTAAATATTGAATATACTTACCTATAACTAGATTAGCATTTAGTTGAACCCCTCCTCAACAGATCTGGAAATACTGTGTAGATAATAAGCTAAGGTCTACAAATCAACCTGAGTTGAGACCACAATGATCTTCAATTTAATTTCACTACAGTCTTGCCAAAGGAATGAGTATTGTTGTAACCTAATCAATAAATTCAGTTGCTCACATCTGCAAAAAAGAAGACTGGGCTACAAACTCATGAAATGTCCCACATACTCGCTCATATAGTTCAATACAAGCATTACCATGGGCCAGACACGTCCCATACAGTTTATCACTTATTCCCATAACTAAACTAAGTCAGACTTTATTGGATAATCTACAGCTGGTATAACAGAGGCTTACGTTCCTCTTTAAGAACACCTTATTTCCCCTCCTCCAGAAGCAGAGGGAACCCATTGGCTACCTTTATTTCTTTGTCTTTCCTCTCAGCTGCAAAAATCTCTACCCAGTTCAGGTGACCACAGTTGCCAACCTACCTCAGCAGGTACACATCACAGCCAGGAGAGACCCTGGGGAGGATGCGGAGAAGGCACATGCTCCTTCAGTGGGGACATCAAGTGACCCAGAGCATTTGGAGGACAGTTTTTAATGTCGATTGAAGTTTTAAGTGCTCATACCCTTTAGACGGCGATGTCAACCCCACAGGATATGGTAAGGAAGTGTTGAAATCACAGGTACCAAAATCTTGAATACAGCACTGTCCATCAGGCAAAAACCAGCTATCTAAACCACTGCACATCCACACAACAGAAAACAAGCTTTTAAAAAAATATATGCTAAAAAGGAAAGAGTTTCAAGGTGTGGTAAGTTTTAAAAAATTGATGACAGTGCATTTGCTATTACATGTTAGAAAAACAGAAAATTAAAGAGCTCTATTTTAGTATCATGAAAAATTATGGTGGCATATGAACCAAACTGTCAATAGCAGTTACCTCTAGACAATGGCCTCTGGGTCACTTTACATTACATGGGCTTTTGGAAATTCCTACAAGATGCTTGTGTTACATTTGAAAAGGGGGAAATAGAGATTTATTTTTCATAATAATATGTGCAGCTATAAAAAACAGCAAATTTACTTAGTAAGGCCTTGTTTACAACTCTTTTTATTAAGGTTAAACATATGTTTGTCTTATATAAAATGCTCCTCCTTCATTAAACCAACTGACGATCAGTCCCAAGAGCGTGTGATTCTGCAACACATTTCACAGAAGCAACTTAGGCTCAGCCACCATACTAGGACCATAATGGAGGAGTGGATTCCCAGGTTAAATCAGGAAACCTTTGCAAATCGGTTTGCGAACCAAGTCCCAAGAAACTAATGCATTGGTCCTCCGCCCTGTGGTGGTCACTGGAGCCTGACCTTGGAGTCACAAAGAACAGACCTTTACCTGCTTGACTTCATGGGTTGTTCATATGGTGTCTGCTGAATGGCATACTCCTGGTACCCTCTCCGAGGTGCCAGGTCAGTCGTGGAGGCCTCTGGGTTGGCAGCTCCTGTCTCGGGGGGCCCGGCCTCCACTGGAACAATCTTGGTAGCACCTGCGATAGAGGCACAGTGCGATGTGCATTACAGAGGCACTGTGAGGGCACTGACTCCCACCCAGCACAGGGCACGCAGCCTGGAGGTATAAGCCTTTACTGTACGATACCCATGCAAGGTATTTGTTGTCCTTCAGTTCACACATTTAACTCATGTGTGTGTGTGTGTGTGTGTGTGTGTGTGTGTGTATTTGGGAGGAGGGGCAAATTTTCTAATAATCTATCAAAACATCCTTCTGAGCTATACTTCATTAAAATAACAAAAACATATAGATACATATACATTTACCTGCAAGGTTTTATATAGGACCACATGTGTTAAGCTTCAAGTAAATGTAAAACTGCATCAAGACAGTATGAAGTAGCAGAACAAACTGTGAACAGGGGTTTGAGCTGCTTCGGGTCCAGTCTGAAATGTGACATTTTATCTTACCATTGCTAGGCTAAGTTTCTACCCCATGAAGTGAAGGGTTTGGAGCAGAAAACCTCAAAGGTCGGTTTTACTTGTGTAATTCTATGATGTGAAATGTCAAAGAAGTTTTATAGCAGTGGACACATCACACATATGTGTATGTATGTGCACACATGCATACATGCATCAGGGGCCTTAAAAAAGAGTCTCCAAACTGCCCCTTGTTTCTGGACTAGCAAAGGAAATTAATTATACTTTTCAACCCTACTTACGGAAATCTCAAAATACTACCATCAATTTTTAAGAAACTATTTTAATAATTTTCTCTAAAGATGGCTGATAAAACAATCCTCTCTCTCAAGTATTATTATTTCCTATAATAATACTGCACTCAAGTAGGATGGGGAAGATAAACTGTCTTTCCAGAAAGTTCTTTAAGTCACATAATTTTATGTGGCTTATTCTCTATTGATCATCTATTCTGCACTAAGTACAAAAAGGCATTTATTCAGTGTTTTCATTTTAAATAATAAGGTACTATTGGACTTGTAAATAGTTAAAAGGCCATAGCTGTTCTTAGAAATCCTAAACTTTATTTTTAAATTTTACCTGATGGCTATCACCACAAATGTATAGAAAGAAACCCCATTATTATACTTAGAAACCTATCGTAAACTGCTTTTTGTCTAAAGTATCCCTTCCTGGAAGAGACCTTTTTTTAAGTACCTGCTGCCTATTTTATGTGAAAGGAAAGAGAAGACAGAAATTTCCAGTATTATGAAATATTTGATGAACCCACTAAATATGCAAAGAAGAAGTTTGGTGGAGGAACATAGTAACCTGTAGGCACTCTGAGAAGCAACCTGCCTCAGTCTGGTATAAGTGGGTCTGGTCCTACACTTAGGTCAGCCCCTGCAGAGTGCAGTAAGTGGGGGAGCACATCCGGGAGAAGGGTGGGCTGAGGGCAGCAAAGACAGAAACCGCCTCCTGGTGCAGACCCTGAGCGGCTGCTGAACGGTGAGGATGGCGTGGGTTGCAGAGGTCGTGGCGCTGGTAGCAGGAACAGCCTGCACAACCTCGCCTCTCACATCACCCACAACAGCCCTGGCAGCACAGGCCTGCCACTGTCCCAAACGAATGGTAACTAAGTGGAGGGCCAGCTGCTCAGGATCACAGGGGCCAACTTGTCAGGCTGCCCTTGGACCAGCCTGGCCAAAAGCTTCTCGTTCTATCACTCCTGCCTACTGTGGTCACCTGGAATAGCTTCATGTGCAGTTAAAACCACACTTATGATGGGTTTCTTCACTCCAGGAATCAGCCCAGCCTCCTTTCCCGAGATCTTCTGCACCTTCTCTGTTCTCTGCGTCCGCGGTCTCTTCGGGGCCTTTTCTCGGTCATCTTCCTTATACTTCTTTTCCAGGTCAAGGTCAGATTCATTACCTAAGGAACAAATATCAAGAAGCATAAAATATCCCTTTATATCAGTGACAGAGCTGGAGAGTCCACATAACACTTCTATAGGATACTGAAGGAGATATACCTGTGTGATGTCCACCCTGATCCACGGTGCCACACAGGCCACTATGTCACTTGGGTATCTTTGGTTCTTTTGTCTTTCATTCAGTTCATAAATGTTCACAGCACCCTGCCACAGGCCACCACCTAGGCAGTGGGGATACGCTCTTGGTAAAGCAGGTGCAGCCCCTCACCTTGTTTTCACGAAGCCTAACAGCCTTCAGAGTCATTGATAAACAAGGAAGATACGGCCTCCAAGATACCCAGCCCAAGAAAATCATTCACCTCTTCAGCCAACAACCAAGACTAATAAAGCACAGACCCAGACCCTGCCCTCGAAAGCCCACCTCCAGTGGGAGACAGCCATGCGAACAGGTGAGGTCAAGGGCAGTCTGCCTGCCATGTACCAACTGAAATGAGAAGGGGTTCAGGATGACCCCAGGAAGGGATGGTAGATTCCACTTGAAAGGCCAGAGAAAACTTTCTGTGGAGACAACCCTTCAGTAACATGAAAAACAAGCATTTGTGAATCTACAGTTGGAGGCTGTGGGGAACAGGTAATGAATGCAGAAGGAGTATAGGGCGAGGGGCAGGTGTGGTTAAAAAGGGTGGAATTCTATTTGGAGAAAGGGCACCAAAGACAAGGAGTAAACCATTAGCTAAGCCTCCTGTGTGGCTACAACATCCTGGAGAAGCAGCAAGGCAGTGAAAGCTAGGTCCCAGAGGGTCCTGTGTGCCCAGCAAGTCTGGAATCTTCCCTCTGAGTGCCAGAGGAGGAAGCACCAACGCTCATGGGGACCAGTCAAGTAGCTGAGTGAATGAAGCTGGCTGAATGGGGCTCAGGTGACAGCGAGACCCCAGCTCCAGCCAGGGCCAAGCTGCCAAGTCATGGGACAGAGTCAGCACATCTTTTGACTATTCAAAGGGAGACTGGAGATCCAGATTTTTAAGTGAAATCTGATTTTTGAAGGTTGACTCTATCTAAAATCTCTTAAAATGCACCTGAGGCTGCATCTGACTGCGAAAGGCAATGGTGACCCACTGGAGCACAGTAAGAGGGGAAAAACTGGACCAAATCTGTGCTTTAAATCTGCACCACAACTGGGGAGAATGAGCTGAGTGGGTTCAAGTGCCATGAAACACACTGAAAAACAGATGCATCAGCCACAGACAGAACAACAGCTAACTTCACATGGCTGAACTTGGCATTAGACTGAAGGGTAAGAAGCACTCCAATATCAAAGTGCAGAATGAAGGAGCGACTGCGCTCCTGAATGTATGCTACTCCAGATTCCTGGGTGAGAAGAAAATACACGAAGGAAGGGAAAGGGGTTTTCTTTTTCTCAGAAGCACAGCCACAAACCTGAAATAACCTGTTCATGAACCAGTTCTTCAGAATATTATCACAAGTGGACAAGAACAGTCCCACACAGTCCTTTATCAGACACGAGCACAGGACAGGCACAAGCCAAATGGATGGTGGGGGCTTGGAGGACGCTGGACTTTGGGGTTATGAAAGGTGCAGGGAGGTGAAGTCGGAAGCCTGCAGTAATAGGGCAGAAGCTGGAGAAATGGGAGAAACCAAAGGGAGACAGCCTGTGGCAACCCGGTAAGTCTATTCCCGTGATTCAAGTGTGCCTACAGCCAGACCCTCACATTAATGTACCAAAGAATGCTGAAGGGAAATGATAAAATAGAGAAGTACAATCCGAGGAAGGCATGGTGGCGGAGGGAAAGCTCTTCAAGTTGATGCATGAAAAAAACTTGGCTAATGAGGCAGATTGATCAAAACAAGCACTCTAATTTTCCATGGTCTATAAATGAAACTCTTTTGGTGTATTTATTCAGTGTTTTCATTTTAAATAATAAGGTACTATTGGACTTGTAAATAGTTAAAAGGCCATAGCTGTTCTTAGAAATCCTAAACTTTATTTTTAAATTTTACCTGATGGCTATCACCACAAATGTATAGAAAGAAACCCCATTATTATACTTAGAAACCTATCGTAAACTGCTTTTTGTCTAAAGTATCCCTTCCTGGAAGAGACCTTTTTTTAAGTACCTGCTGCCTATTTTATGTGAAAGGAAAGAGAAGACAGAAATTTCCAGTATTATGAAATATTTGATGAACCCACTAAATATGCAAAGAAGAAGTTTGGTGGAGGAACATAGTAACCTGTAGGCACTCTGAGAAGCAACCTGCCTCAGTCTGGTATAAGTGGGTCTGGTCCTACACTTAGGTCAGCCCCTGCAGAGTGCAGTAAGTGGGGGAGCACATCCGGGAGAAGGGTGGGCTGAGGGCAGCAAAGACAGAAACCGCCTCCTGGTGCAGACCCTGAGCGGCTGCTGAACGGTGAGGATGGCGTGGGTTGCAGAGGTCGTGGCGCTGGTAGCAGGAACAGCCTGCACAACCTCGCCTCTCACATCACCCACAACAGCCCTGGCAGCACAGGCCTGCCACTGTCCCAAACGAATGGTAACTAAGTGGAGGGCCAGCTGCTCAGGATCACAGGGGCCAACTTGTCAGGCTGCCCTTGGACCAGCCTGGCCAAAAGCTTCTCGTTCTATCACTTCCCGCCTACTGTGGTCACCTGGAATAGCTTCATGTGCAGTTAAAACCACACTTATGATGGGTTTCTTCACTCCAGGAATCAGCCCAGCCTCCTTTCCCGAGATCTTCTGCACCTTCTCTGTTCTCTGCGTCCGCGGTCTCTTCGGGGCCTTTTCTCGGTCATCTTCCTTATACTTCTTTTCCAGGTCAAGGTCAGATTCATTACCTAAGGAACAAATATCAAGAAGCATAAAATATCCCTTTATATCAGTGACAGAGTTGGAGAGTCCACATAACACTTCTATAGGATACTGAAGGAGATATACCTGTGTGATGTCCACCCTGATCCACGGTGCCACACAGGCCACTATGTCACTTGGGTATCTTTGGTTCTTTTGTCTTTCATTCAGTTCATAAATGTTCACAGCACCCTGCCGCAGGCCACCACCTAGGCAGTGGGGATACGCTCTTGGTAAAGCAGGTGCAGCCCCTCACCTTGTTTTCACGAAGCCTAACAGCCTTCAGAGTCATTGATAAACAAGGAAGATACGGCCTCCAAGATACCCAGCCCAAGAAAATCATTCACCTCTTCAGCCAACAACCAAGACTAATAAAGCACAGACCCAGACCCTGCCCTCGAAAGCCCACCTCCAGTGGGAGACAGCCATGCGAACAGGTGAGGTCAAGGGCAGTCTGCCTGCCATGTACCAACTGAAATGAGAAGGGGTTCAGGATGACCCCAGGAAGGGATGGTAGATTCCACTTGAAAGGCCAGAGAAAACTTTCTGTGGAGACAACCCTTCAGTAACATGAAAAACAAGCATTTGTGAATCTACAGTTGGAGGCTGTGGGGAACAGGTAATGAATGCAGAAGGAGTATAGGGCGAGGGGCAGGTGTGGTTAAAAAGGGTGGAATTCTATTTGGAGAAAGGGCACCAAAGACAAGGAGTAAACCATTAGCTAAGCCTCCTGTGTGGCTACAACATCCTGGAGAAGCAGCAAGGCAGTGAAAGCTAGGTCCCAGAGGGTCCTGTGTGCCCAGCAAGTCTGGAATCTTCCCTCTGAGTGCCAGAGGAGGAAGCACCAACGCTCATGGGGACCAGTCAAGTAGCTGAGTGAATGAAGCTGGCTGAATGGGGCTCAGGTGACAGCGAGACCCCAGCTCCAGCCAGGGCCAAGCTGCCAAGTCATGGGACAGAGTCAGCACATCTTTTGACTATTCAAAGGGAGACTGGAGATCCAGATTTTTAAGTGAAATCTGATTTTTGAAGGTTGACTCTATCTAAAATCTCTTAAAATGCATCTGAGGCTGCATCTGACTGCGAAAGGCAATGGTGACCCACTGGAGCACAGTAAGAGGGGAAAGACTGGACCAAATCTGTGCTTTAAATCTGCACCACAACTGGGGAGAATGAGCTGAGTGGGTTCAAGTGCCATGAAACACACTGAAAAACAGATGCATCAGCCACAGACAGAACAACAGCTAACTTCACATGGCTGAACTTGGCATTAGACTGAAGGGTAAGAAGCACTCCAATATCAAAGTGCAGAATGAAGGAGCGACTGCGCTCCTGAATGTATGCTACTCCAGATTCCTGGGTGAGAAGAAAATACACGAAGGAAGGGAAAGGGGTTTTCTTTTTCTCAGAAGCACAGCCACAAACCTGAAATAACCTGTTCATGAACCAGTTCTTCAGAATATTATCACAAGTGGACAAGAACAGTCCCACACAGTCCTTTATCAGACACGAGCACAGGACAGGCACAAGCCAAATGGATGGTGGGGGCTTGGAGGACACTGGACTTTGGGGTTATGAAAGGTGCAGGGAGGTGAAGTCGGAAGCCTGCAGTCATAGGGCAGAAGCTGGAGAAATGGGAGAAACCAAAGGGAGACAGCCTGTGGCAACCCGGTAAGTCTATTCCCGTGATTCAAGTGTGCCTACAGCCAGACCCTCACATTAATGTACCAAAGAATGCTGAAGGGAAATGATAAAATAGAGAAGTACAATCCGAGGAAGGCATGGTGGCGGAGGGAAAGCTCTTCAAGTTGATGCATGAAAAAAACTTGGCTAATGAGGCAGATTGATCAAAACAAGCACTCTAATTTTCCATGGTCTATAAATGAAACTCTTTTGGTGGCTGTCCCCAAAGTCCAGGTGATTGGAACATATTTAGAACTCGTGCAGTCTTTCAGAATTTTTTTAGTTGATGAAAAAAGATCCTTAGTCATATAATTAGTATCAGCACTGAACGTGTTAAAAACAAATTTAAGAATACTTAATATCGATGGATTAAAGATGGTGGGGTGAGAGGTGAGACAGAGACTTCTTCCTAAAACTGTATATAATATGAAAATATAATATGACTAATCCTGAAAGAGCAACAGGAAAGAGGGCTGTGCCAAACTGCATACACCTGGAGAAAAGAATAAACCTCACGGAACAGGTTAATGTACCAAAGCCATGGCCTGGCAGGACCCAAGCCTGTCCCCCACCCCAGCTCACCAGCACAAGGAAGAGAAACGGAGTGGGGCTGGGAGCGGAGGCCTGGGACTGAATATCTAACTCTGGAGATCTGCTCTGGGAGCACAAACCTATATTTCATGGTGCGTTCATGGTACTCTTGTGATTAGGTGGTTGGAAAGCTAAGACAGGCAGAATTCCTGGAGAGACTGAGATTCCAGCCACTTGTGGAAAACAGGGATCCATATCCCGCTGCTCTGGGAAAAAAGAAAGGTGGGCAGTCTGAGAGACTTCCTAACAGTAAGAAGGCTGCTAAAGGGGTAAGCACTGTGCAGAGCTTACTGCTCAGGAGAAAGGACAGGTAGACAAAATTGTCTGGGTGCACTCTGCCCAGAACGTTGGGGGCTTTCACAATCTTCAGCTGCTCCAGCTCCCTGGCTGCCTACATAGCTCCAAGGACCCCCTCTGTGATAGACAGCCTACTGCGCCTTTCTCCTGGCCAGCACCACCCGGCTCTCAAACTGGCAAACCCTACCTTGGCATTAGACCAACCAGAGGGAAGATCTGTCTACAGAAACTACAAACACAAAGCATAGAGGCTTATACTTGTGTGCCTGGCCCACTGATTCTGGCAGTGGAGACAGGCATAGCAGCCGGGAAGCAGGAAACAGCTCTTTCCTCACCCCAGGCACCAATACAGCTCCTCTGCAAACCCCAACATTGCTTCAGGGGCTGAGCAGCTCCATAATGTAGAGCTTCTGGGCACTAGAGGGTGCCATATACAAATATGAAACAAATATGAAACACCAAAGAAACCTGATTCAAAGTAAAATTATAAACACAACACATGAGAAAGATTCAAATGATATTGACCTCATGAATCTTCCTAAAAGGGATTTCAAAATAAAAATCATTAACATGTTCACGGAGGTACAGGAAAATATTCAACAACTCAGGAATGAATTCTGGTCACAGATCCAATCATTGAAGAGCACAATGGAAGGTATTAAAAGCAGGTTAGATATGGTGGAGGAGAAGATAAATGAAGTAGAAACTAGAGAAAAGGAATATAAAGAAGCTGAGGCACAGAGAGAAAAAAGGATCTCTAAGAATGAAAGAATATTAAGAGAATGGTGTGACCAACCCAAAAGAAACAATATTCGCAATATAGGGATACCAGAAGAAGAAGAGAGAGAAAAATGGATAGAAAGTGTCTTTGAGGAGGTAATTGCTGAAAACTCCAATTTGGGGAAGGACAGAGTCTCTCAGGCCATGGCAATGCACATATCTCCCAACACAAGGGACCCAAGGAAGACAACACCAAAACATACAGTAATTAAAATGGCAAACATAAAGGATAAGGACAGACTATTAAAAGCAGCAAGAGAGAAAAATAAGATCACATGCAAAGGAAAGCCCATCAGGCTATCATCACACTTCTCAGCAGAAACTTTACAGGCCAAAGGGAGTGGCATGATGTATTTAATGCCATGAAGTAGAAGGGCCTCGAACCAAGATTACTTTATCTGGTAAGATTATCATTTAGATTTGAAGGAGGGATTAAACAATTTCCAGATAAGCAAAAGATGAGAGAATTTACCTCCCACAAACTGTCTCTACAGTGTATTTTGGAGGGACTGCTATAGATGGAAGTGTTCCTAAGTTTTAATAGCTGTCACCACAGGTAATAAAACCACACTAAAAAAAGTAGAACAGATAATTATTAAGCAAATGCAAAATCAAATCAACTACCCCCAAAGTCAATCAAGGGATAGACAAAGAGTACAGAATATAATACCTAATATATAAAAAATGGAGGAGGAAGAAAAAGAGAAAAAAAGAACCTTTAGATTGTGATTGTAATAGCATACAAAGTGAGTTAAGTTAGGCTCTTAGATAGTAATGAAGTTAACCTTGAACCTTTCGTAACCATGAATCTAAAGTCTGCAATGGCAATAAATACATACTTATCAAAAATCATGCTAAATGTAAATGGTCTGAATGCACCAATCAAAAGACATAGTGTCACTGAATGGATAAAAAAACAAGACCCATCTATATGCTGCCTACAAGAGACTCACTTTAAACCCAAAGACATACACAGACTAAAAGTCAAGGGATAGAAAAAGATATTCCATGCAAAATAAGGGAGAAAAAAGCAGGAGTTGCAGTACGTATATCAGACAAAACAGACTGCAAAACAAAGAAAGTCACAAGAGACAAAGAAGGACATTACATAATGATTAAGGGGTCAATCCAACAAGAAGATATAATCATTATAAATATGTATCTGCCCAACACAGGAGCACCTACATATGTGAAACAAATATTAATAGAATTAAAAGGGGAAACAGAATGCAATGCATTCATCTAGGAGATCTCAACACTCTACTCACTCTAACGGACAGATCCACCAGACAGAAAATAAGTAAGGACACAGAGGCACTGAACAACACACTAGAACACATGGACCTAACAGACATCTACAGACCTCTACACCCAAAAGCAGCAGAATACACATTCTTCTCAAGTGCACATGGAACATTTTCAAGAACAGATCTTATACTAGGCCACAAAAAGAGCCTCAGTGAATTCAAAAAGACTGAAATTGTACCAACCAGTTTCTCAGACCACAAAAGTAGGAAAGTAGAAATAAATTACACGAAGAAAATGAAAAATCCCACAAACACATGGAGGCTTCACAACATGCTCCTAAATAACCAATGGATCAATGACCAAATAAAAACAGTGATCAAGCAATATA